GGTACTGTGTACTGGGGGCCACTGAGGGTTCTTGAGAAGGATGTAGATAAGTGAAAGCAGATGGCAGGCGGCCTGAGGAAGACAAGGGGTCCTGGGACTGGTGCTTCCCTTCCTATGTCAGAGGGGCTTAGAGTGGGCTCGCAGCAGGGCGCTTTGAGAGACCTGTCCGCGGGGCGTTTCTGAGCATCGCAGGCTATGAGCTGCAGCCCCCACATCACCCGCCCCACAGCAGGGAAGAAGAGTGCTGAGCAACAGCAGGCAGAGCAGGGCCCATAAACGCTCCCCGACAGGACCAGCAGCCCCAGCCACTGTGCCCTGCATGTGCGGGGGTTTATGCGCCCTGTGAGTCATTATAACAAACACACAGCTAGCTAATAAAGCTCAACTAGCCGGGTGTGGTGGCACACGCCTGTGATCCCAGCACTCAGAAGGCTGAGGCAAGAGGACTGTTGCAAGTTCCAGATCACCCTAGACTACACAAGTGAGCTCAAGGCCAGCCTGAACTGTGTAGTGAGACCCTGTCTCAAAGACAAAAATAAAATAAAATAATTAAAACATCTAATCAAGCAAGGTGCGTTGGTGCACACCTGTCACCCCAGCATGGGGGAGGCTGAGGCAGGAGGATCAATGCAAGTTCAATGCCAGCCTGGACTACATAGTGAGACCTAGACTCAAAGGGGGGGGGTGGGGAGATAGCTTAGCAACATAAGCACCTGCCTGGCAAGTGTAAGGTCCTGAGTTCGATCCCTTGTACCCACCCCCCCAAATATATATATATATAGTGAAGGTTTTCGAAGCATCTGACACAAAAAAATCACTCAACCCTTGGAGGCAGGTACAATTAGTATCAATTGGTATCACCATTTACATGTGGGGAAACTGAGGCACGGAGCCTGTCTGTGGTTTGCAGAAAGTCATACAGCAGAAATAGGGCAGCATATCAGAGCAGTGATTTTTTTTTTCTTTCTTTCTTTTTTTTTTTTGGCGGAACCGGGGATTGAACTCAGTCCCTTGTGCTTGCCAGGGAAGCGCTTATTCCACTGAGCCATCTCCCCGGCCCCAAGAGCAATGACTTCTTCTGGACCCCTTTTAATCTTCCCCACTATTCTGCGATGGAGGTTTTATTTCCCCAACTAGAGGTGCAAAGAAGCGGTGCACTATGCAGGCTGGTCTTGAACTCGTGGTGATCCTCCTGCCTCAGGCTCCCCAGTGCTGCAAAGACTGGAATACACCACCACATTTTGGGGGGTATGGGGGATTGAACTCAAGACACTGCGCTTATCAGAAAGGCATTTACTCTACTGAGTTATCTCCCCAACCCATTTTCCCCCCTGGAACCGGGGATTGAACTCAGTCCCTTGTGCTTGCCACACAAGTGCTTATTCTACTGAGCTCTCTCCCGGGTCCTCCAGTATCTTTAAAAAAACAAACAAACAAAAAAAAAAAAAAAAAAAAAAAAACACAATAACAAAAAAAAAAAAAACAACGGGAATGAGTTGTGGGTGGAGCCTACAGCCAGCCGCCCACCCATCCCCAGGTAGAAGTCCAACCTAGGACTGGGAGGGTGAGGCTGGGCTGCAAAGAATGATTGACTTTTGCCCCCAGGAGCCTGGAAACAATGTCCTCCAGCCCTGCCCACCGTGCCTTTCCCAGCCAGGGCCCGCTCTGGCGGGGTGGAGACTGAATGCAAAACTTTGTGCCTGTGTTCCTGTCTCTGGCCGCTGGATCTCAGTTTCCCCTCTGTGAAATGGAGTTGCAACCTTCTGAAGATGTGCCAGTCAGTCCCCGTCCATCTTTCTTTGGTTCTTTCTTGACACAGGGTCTCTCTCTCAGGGTCTCTCTCTCTCTAGCTCAGGCTGGCCTTTAGCTTACTTTGTAGCACAGGGTGGTCTCGAACTCGCTACGAGTGCTGGGATTACAAGCGTACGCCACCACGTCCGGTGAGGACCAGTGATAACTGGCACTTAACAAAATGTGTAGGTGGAAGGGAAATCTTCGCTAGCCCCTTGCTCCGTTCCGAGCGCGCTTACAATCCGCGCCAGGTCTTCCTCGAAGCTTGGCCACCACCGCGCAGCACCTCTAGTCGCGGGCCAGGCTCGGCGGTGTGGAAAACGTGGCTGGGATTTGAGTCCCAGAACTGGAGCCCGCGATGGAGGCCGCGGGAGCGAGGCCGGGCTGGCCGCTTCCCGGAGGCGTGTCCCACCGGGGCGGAGCGCGCAGGGGGCCTGGACGAGGAAAAGGAGCAGGTGCGGCCGGGAGCAGCGGAGCGGGCCGGAGGCGGGCGAAAGCGGGGCTCCCAGCCCCCCAACTCTGGGGTGGGGCCCAGTTGACTGTTTGCAGGTCCCCCGCGGGCAGGGGCTGCTCGAGAGCCCCCGGGGTGGACCATGGCGGTGAGATTCCAGGCGAGTAGCTCGTGGCGGGCAGGACAGGGAGAAGGTAGGAAGCGGGGTTGGGAGTCGCACCCAGGACCTCAGGACACCCGGTACCTACACGGCAGATGGGTAAAATGAGACCCGGAGGTGTGAGGTGGTCAGCCCGAGGTACACGGGGAGGCGTGTCCCCATTCCTCCAAATCTGGCTCCTTTATAGCGCAGATCTGGGTTCAGATACCGCTGTGCCTTACGCTGCGCTTCTTGGAGCCGCGCCTCACCCTCTCTGTAGCTTATCTGTACAATGGGTCCTCATCAACCCAAAGCCAGACACAGGCGCAGCCTGGCAGGTGGCCTTGCGGCTGACTACATCGGCCCGGGGCTCTCCTCGGTGCCTCACCCGGGGAACGCGCGGCGACTTTATCTGCGGTCTGAGTTCACTTTGGCGAGCGCAGTGAGACTCAAGACAAACGACCGCTGTTTATATATCGGGTGGCGACTGCACATAGAGCTGCCACCTGGTGTGGGGGTGGGGGGGGCTGAAGCCCTAATTTTGCACATGGGCAAAGGAATCTAGGTGGAGTGGGGTGGGGCAAAGATGGTCCATTTTTGCTTGGGACCCCAGAGGGATAAACTGAGGCAGGGGCTGAGCCCTGGGCCACCGGCTCCGAGCTGTAGGGCTTGGCGCTCTGGCTTCCCGCCGCCGCCGCCAACCCTCGGGGCCTTTGTCCTGCAGATGGGCGGGGCGGGGAGGGGGCTCGGGAGCCTCGTGCCCTTGCTGGGCTGAGTGACACGGCCCGCCCGCCCTCCCTTCGGGGCGGTTCCCAGAGGTGTTTGTGTCGCGCAGGTGGCAGGAGGCGGGCACAAATCTCCCCCGAAACTCACCTTGACCGAGGCGGGGATCTAGAGACACCTGCTCCGCCCTCCCCCGCCACCCGCGAGCGCCTCTGCCCAAGCTGTCCCGGTGCCTGGTCGGGATGGCAGTCCCAGCCCCGCCCTCCAGCAGCCCCAGACTGAGGAGTAAGTAGGGGAGCCTGAGCTGGAATGAGGCTCCTGGGACCCAATAATCAGTATTGGCCAAGGGCAAGGATGCAGCTTGTGTAGAAGTTGAGGAGTCGATTTCTGGGGAAAGAGACAGTAGCTCTGGGGCTGTGGAGGATGAATAGGAGTTTGCCAAGGAGTTCAGGACAGCATGACAGCTGGCCAGAGAGCCAGGACCTGAGTGGCAGGAGACAGCTATACAGAATATCAAGGAGGGTGTCCCTAGCACAGCCAGGGCAGCATTTTGAGGGAAACAGCCAACCAGCTGGGTTAATCTCTGGGGCACTGGGGAGCCCCTGAGGGTTTTAGACAAAGCCCTTGGTATCCAGGGTGATAAGTCACACAAGCAGGGACAAGCTGGGGCAGCCACCTGCCTCCCTCCTCCCCAAGGTGCCCTGGTCCCCTGAGGACTTTTCCTAAAGTCCAGCCAGGAAATCAAAATTCTGTGTGTGTGTGTGTGTTGGCGGCGGAGAGGGACTGCATTTAATCATGTAAAGTATAACATCCAAGGAAGGAAAAGATTCTACTTGGAAGCCAAACGCAATGGTCCACACCTCAGCCCAGCACTCTGGAAGGCTGAGGTAGGAGGATCCCAAGTTCAAGCCCAGGCTGGGCAACTTAGGGACTTAGGGAAACACTGCCTCAAAATAAAAAATAAAAAGGTAGGGGACATAACAGGGGAGGGAGCTGCCAGGTCTGCCTCTGTTGGTTCTGTTGATTGGTGGGTATGTGTCTCCCATCCTTATTTCTCCATCTGGAGTATGGGGGTGGTGGATTGCCCCTCCAGTTAAATAAGTTCCCATATTTATTTTTTGTGTTTTTGAGACAGGGTGTTGCTAGGCAGTTCAGGCTGGCCTTGAGCTCACTTTGTAGCCCAGGCTGGTCTTGAATGCTTAGCGATTCTCCTGCCTCAAGAGATACTATGGGCACCAAAGAGACCCTTGCTCACCCACTCCCTTGGCAAATAACTATGGGATCCCTGCTGGAACCCCATGGGGCCTAAGCCAGTGACTGGCTGTGGATGAGACAGATACAGATCTCTCATAATCCGGCCAGTATCCTGGGCTCACGTTTTGTGAAGGAACACAAAGCCAGAATAGCAGATGTTGGTCAGGGATGACCTGACCTGAGAAGTGGGGTGTGGACAGACATCTCCAAAGGTGGTGGGGAACCTGGGCAGAGCAATTCAAGTGGTGGGCACAGCCGTGCAAAGGCCCTGGGGCAGCACAGAGCCTGGTGTGTTGCCTGCAGGAGCTACAAGGAGCCTGGGTGGCTGGAGCAGGGGGAGGGGAATATAGGGAGCAGGGGAGGCAGGGAGGGGACAGCGGCCCTGCAGGGCCCTGCTGGCTGTGGGAAGACCTGGGCTTTGGCTCCAGGGAGGTGGGGGGCAGAGGAGGACACAGCACCCTGGGATGGCTGCTGTAGGAGAACAGGCTGTGGGCTGGGGATGGGCACTGGGGCCCAGGGTGGCGGTGGCTGAGCTGGTTCAGGTTGGCGGTGCTGGGAGCCAGGGTGTCCCCAGGGCACAGAGTGGTCCCTGATGAGACCCCTCCTGGGCCAGGCCTGATGCCCCCTTCCCTGTTCCCCCAGCAGGTGGCAGACATGGAGGAGGTGACCATTTGGGAGCAACACACGGCCACCCTCTCCAAGGTGAGCAGGGCCTACCCAGGTGCCCAAGGTGCCCTCGCACCTTTGTCCACACAGATGCTGATACCCTTGTGTGTCCTTGTCACTCAGGACCCGCGCCGAGGCTTCGGCATCGCCATCTCGGGAGGCCGGGCTGGGCCCAGTGGCTCCGTGGTGGTGTCTGATGTGGTTCCTGGAGGCCCAGCTGAGGGCCATCTGAGGTGAGCGCCAGGTCACCCCAAGGTGGGGCAGGTGCCATCAACCCCACACAGGGCTGCTGCTGTGCTGTCCCCAAGGGGCTTCCTGGTCTGTCCTGGCCCCCATGGCCCCGGGGCTCTCCTGGAAGACAAAGCACCAGAAAGCTGTCTTTTGGCAGAGGGTTAGGAGCTGCTGTGTTCTGAGCCTTTGGGGACTGGGATTCCTGGAAATGGGAGGAAAATGGTCCTGGGGCCACACACACACACACACACACACACACACACACACACACACACAGAAAAGCAGAAGGAACTGGGAAGAAAGCCCAGTGGCTTGGTGCCTGCCTGCGATCTCAGCACTCGGGCTGAGGCGGGAGGATGGCGCGAGTTTGAGGCCGGCCTGGGCGACACAGCGCGTTCAAGTCCCGCCTCCACTGCCTGGAACATAGAGAAGCCACAGAGAACACCAGGTCCTGGTGAAGGCAGCATGTCCCGGAATTGGTTGGGCCTGAGAGCTCAGTAAGACCTTCTGCCCCAAACAGAGAAGAGATGGGGGACTGGGGCATCAGGCAGGAGGACCCCAGGAAACCCTGGGGGTTAAAGTTCTCTGGTAGTCTAGCATCTTGGCAGGCTGAGTTCTTGAAGTATCTGATGTAAACTCCGGAGGACCTGCGAAATTCCTGCCCTCCCTGCCTCCTCCCTTCCCTGTTTGTGGATGGCAGCCGAGCAGGCTTCTGCTGGCAGACAGGTGGGGGTGGGAGAATCGGGCCAGCTTGGAGATTTACAGTGCAGAGCAAGCCCCTGTCCCCCCAAAATAACTGGGAAAAAGAGCAAAAAGACACCAGCTGCCCTCGCACCTTGCCTTGTGTTAGGCCGGATTCCACAGCTGGCCCCACTGCGTGGCTGATGTGACAGCCTTGAAGGATGGGGGGACCCTGGCATGCTTGGGGTGTATTGAAGGCCCAGTAGGGACCATGGGGAAAGTGGGCTACCAGGTGGTGCCGCCCAGAGGGGCCCTGCCTGAGCACCTCCTCCCTCAGGCCGGGGGACCACATGGTCATGGTGAACGGGGTCTCCGTGGAGAACATGACATCGGCCTTCGCTATTCAGCTTCTGAAGACCTGCACCAAGATGGCCAATATCGTGAGTGGGTAGGGAGGTGGCCCTGCTTGGCGCAGTCCTGTTGTTCCACAGCAGTGGCGCACACCTGTGATCCCAGCACTCTGGGAGGCTGAGGCAGGAGGATCTCAAGGTCAAACCTCCCCTTGCTCAGGGCACCTGCTCTGGCTTCCACCCTGGCTGAACCCCCTGTCTGACTCCACAGACGGTGAAGCGGCCCCGGAAGGTCCAGCTGCCAGCCACCAAGCCGGGCGCCCCCAGCCTAGGCCGCCAGGAATCGGACAAGGAGGATGCTTGGCAGCAGCAGGAGGAGGCCGAGCATGGCCAGGGCTATGAGGGGGACTCGTCCAGTGGCTCGGGCCAGTCAGGCGGGGAGCGGTCCCGCCGGCCAAGGGCAGCGCGCTGGGGTCGGGCCAGCAGCCAGGGCCGCAGGAGTCCAGGGGGTGCGTCGGAGGCCAACGGACTGGCCCTGGTGTCAGGCTATAAGCGGCTGCCCCGGCAAGATGTGGGCATGAAGCCCCTGAAGTCAGTGCTCGTGAAGCGGCGGAACAGCGAAGGTGACAACAGTGGCCTGGGGCAGGTGGTGGGCAGGGCACCAGGGAGCACCAAGGCCACTGGTCCCCTATTGCATGTGGTCTGCACGTGGTCCTGGGCTAGAGCCCCCTGATTCTCTGTCTCCGTCACTTAAAACAGCAGAAGAGACTGTAGACAGCTGAGTGAGCGGCACACCCTAGTCATCCCAGCTGCTCAGGAAGCTAAGGCAGGAAGATTGCAAGCTTGAGCCCAGCCTAGGCAACTTAGTGAAACCCTGTCTCAAAGTTTAAAGAAAAATGTTTTTGGGCTGGGGAGATGGCTTAGTGGAATAAGCGCTTCCCCGGCAAGCGCAAGGGTCTGAGTTCAATCCCCAGTTCTGCCAAAAAAAAAAAAAAAAAAAAAGAAAAATGTTTTTAGGGCCACCCAAAATTAAAGTGCCTGCAAGCAGGCTCAGGAGCCAGGGTCCGATCCCTGGGCCTGCCGTGCCAGCCCCGCACCCGAGACACACTGAGACATCAATTGAGACTGAGTGTGGTGGTGCACACCTGTAATCCCAACTCTTGGGAGGCTGTAAACAGATGGATCACTATGAGTCTGATCTAAGCAGTGAGGCCATGAACACCTTGTAGACCCTTCCCTAAAATACAGGGAAAAAGAAAGAAAGAAAGAAAGAAAGAAAGAAAGAAAGAAAGAAAGAAAGAAAGAAAGAAAGAAAGAAAGAAAGAATATTTTTAAAAGAAAAGCGGGACCGGGGAGATGGCTCAGTAGAATAAGCGCTTGCCTGGCAAGCACAAGGCCCTGAGTTCAATCCTTGTTTCCTCAAAAAAATTAAAGTAAATAAAGAAAAGAAAAGGCCTGGTGGGGCCAGGGAGATGGCCCAGTGGAATAAGCGCTTCCCTGACAAGCGCAAGGGCCTGAGTTCAATCCCCGGTTCCACAAAAAAGAAAAAAAAAGAAGAAGAAGAAAAGAAAAGGCCTGGGGGAAAAAAGGGAACTATCCAGGCGTGGTAGCACAATCCTGTGCACCCAGCACTCAGGAGGCTGAGGCAGGAGGATGGCCACAAGTCCCAGACCAGCGTGGGCTACATAGTGAGATCTTGACTCACAAAAATAAAAGGGCTGGGGTGTAGCTCAGCACTCCCAGGTACTGGGGGAACCCCGATGATGTCATCAGCTGGTGGGCTGAGGGCCCGGTCCTCTAGCCTTCAGAGCCCTGCCTTCGTTGCCCTCTGCCCCTACAGAGTTTGGGGTCAAACTGGGCAGTCAGATCTTCATCAAGCACATCACAGACTCTGGCCTGGCCGCCCGGCACCGTGGGCTGCAGGAAGGGGACCTCATTCTTCAGGTGACCTGGGCTTCCTGCCCTGTGGGTGACTGAGTCTGGGGTGGACAGTGCAGCTGAGGCCTCCAAGCCAGGCCTTGGTCACTTTGGAGATGGTTAGGCAAGAGCTTCCCTTTTTCTGTGTCTTGTGAAGAATTCATTGCTGAATGTCAGTTTCTGGGATTGGCAGTTTCTAGTGTCCCCGGGCTTTGCTGTGCTTGCAAGTCCTGTGTCTAGCTGGTACATTGCCGCTCCTTGGACCTGCTAGGGGTGGGAGGCACAGGGCCTGAGGCTCAAGGTCTCCCCTAAAAGTCTGTTACAGGGGCTGAGGAGATGGTTCAGTGGAATAAGCGCTTCCCTGGCAAGCGCAAGGGCCTGAGTTCAATCCCTGGTTCCGCAAAAAAAAACCCAAAAAACTAAAAGTCTGTTGCAGTAGTTTCTAGTATTTGGCTTCCAAAGCATGCCCGGCTGATTGTTCCTAATGTCTCCTTGGATTTCTCTGTTTCTAGTAACCCCAAGAAATAGTCTGTTGCTAGTAGTTTAGGGCAAACTAGAAACAGAGAATTTAGTGGGGGCATTAGAAGCTCATAATCCCTGGAGTGATTGAAAGGAGACTCTCAAGGGAAGATGTTAAAAATGGCGTGAGATGTCCTTTCCCGAAATTTAGGGTTCTAGTCTGCCTCCAGATGTCTGTTTCTAGCACCTCCTAGAAATTCTGTTCCTTGTACTTATAAGTGGCCACTTCTTCAATTAGAATTGCTTCTAAAACCACTCTCATTTTTCCTTGCTGTTCCCCGTCCCTCGAAGAGGATTGTTTCTAGAGTTCTGGGGACAGTCTGTTCTGGGTGCCACCCCTCTCCACAGCATGAATACACTTTTCACATTTGGAGTGGCTGTTTTTAGTAACCTCTGGAGATTGTCTGCAGTCTAGCCACCAAGATAGCTGTTTCTAGTATCCCCATCTCTCACTCCTCCCTGGTCCCTTTCAGGTCAATGGGGTATCCAGCCAGAATTTGTCGCTCAGTGATACCCGGAAGCTAATAGAGAAGTCGGAAGGGAAGCTGACCCTGCTCGTGCTGAGGGACCAAAGCCAGTTCCTGGTGAACATCCCGCCAGCCGTCAGTGACAGTGACAGCTCTCTCCTGGAGGGTGAGGGACCCAGGCGGGCTTAGAGGGTGACAGGAACTTACCCTACAGCCGAACAGCAGCCCTGCTGCGCTTCCCAGGCCAAGTCTAAGGGAGGCTCTGGCTGCCCCAGGCCCTGCACATGGGGCCTTGATGCCCCCCTAGGCAGCAGGACCTTGCTGGCCAGGTGAGGAGGCTGATCTCTCCCCTCCCCCAGACATCTCAGACCTCAACTCGGAGATGTCACAGGCACCGCCTTCACATGTCCCACCACCACCCAGGCACCGACGGCGGCGGCGGAGCCCTGAAGAAGCCAGCGAGACAGACTCCCCTGGGTGCGTACCCCGAGGGAGAGGCCTGGGAGTGCAGAGGTCCCTGCTCACCAGGGTGGGTGAACCCCACTCAGCCTCAGATGCCACTACTCACTGTACCCTTGCTTGGGGACATGGAGTGTGCCAGTCTCAAGTCTCCTTTTTTTTTTTTTTTTTCTGAAGTACTGAGGATGGAACCCAGGGCCTTTGTACTGAGCTATATCCCCAGCCCTTGTTAAGTTGCTAAGTTGACCAGGCTGGGTTTAAAGTTCGAGATCCTCCTGCTTTAGCCTCTTGAGTAGCTGGGATCACAAGTGTGTACCACTGTGCCTAATTAAAGTGTTTTCTCTCTCTCCCTCTCTCTCTCTCTCTTGAGGCAGGGTCTTGCTATGTAGCCCAGGCTGGCCTCACTCATAGCGATCCTCCTGCCTCAGCCTCCTGGTGCTAGGATTACAGGCATGCAACACTACATCTGGCCTGAAGTACCTTTTAGAAATCTCCCCTCCAAATCTAACTTTGCCTCACCTCAAATCTGTTCCCCACCAGGGGGAGCCCCGAGCCCAGGCGCGAAAGGTCCAACAATTCTAGAACTATCTCAGAACCTGGTGAGTGCTGGGACGAGTTTGTCTAATCTGGCTGGTGAGGCTATGCCAGGTGGAGGGCTCAGGGCGGCATGAATGAGACCAAGGTGCAGCTGGGCGTGGGTGTGGCGGTGGCTGCCTCTGGGGAGGCTGAAGCAGGTGGATGGCTGTGATTTTCAGGACAACCTGGGCTACATAAGGAGATTCTGTCTCAAAAGAAAATCCTACAAACCAACAGAGGTGGGGGAGATGTTGGAAAGGGCAGAACACCCCAAGCAAGGCCTGAGAGGCCTGAGAGCTGATTTGTCTTTCAGACTCTCCCCGTGGAAGCAACAGTGACATTTACAGGGTCCCCAGCCGCCAGAGCCTGGAGGCCCGCGGGTGTGTCCCAGTCCCTTCTCTGGGCTCACAGCCGGCCTGTCCTCCTTTACCGCCCCCTTCCCTCCCCACCTTCATCCCTCCTCCGTCACCCCCCCCCCCAATTTAACATACCACCTCATGTCCCCGGGGTCGAATGCCACCACCCTGGAGGCTGTTTGGGAAACCGAGGTTCCTCGGAGGGACAGGGCTTTGCCCAGGGTGCCGACCTCCTGTGGCCTGACCCGTCTTCCTCCCACAGGTACAGCCCTGACACGCGTGTAGTCCGATTCCCCAAGGGTGCCAACATTGGGCTGCGGCTGGCTGGGGGCAATGACGTGGGCATCTTCGTGTCTGGCGTGCAGCCTGGCAGCCCGGCTGAAGGGCAGGGCATCCAGGAGGGGGACCAGATCCTGCAGGTGACACGGCGTGGGTGGCAGATCAGGCTTGAATTAGAGATTCTCTAGCCTCAGCTGCCCACTGTGCTGGGATGACAGGCGTGCGCCACTGCACCTGGCAAGGCTATCCAGTCTGACATAGTGTGGTCCCAGCTGCTGTGCCCCAAAGGAAACCTTTGTGTTTCAGGGACACCCAGCATCCTGCAGCCCAGGGGGTGACCCGAGGTCCCTAAGCTGGCCGGGTTGCAGTCGGGCTGGGCTCCGCCCACAGTGGGCGGGGTCTCCTTGCGCACAGCCGCAGGTGCCGGCCTGGCCTCCTCATGCACCCGTTCCTGGCAGGTGAATGACACGCCCTTCCGCAGTCTCACGAGAGAGGAGGCTGTGCAGTTCCTGCTGGCGCTGCCACCTGGGGAGGACGTGGAGCTAGTCACGCAGCGCAAGCAGGACAGTGAGTCACGTGCTGGTCCCCTAGGCCGCTGGTGGGGGGACCCCTGGCCCTGATGAGGAGAGGAGGAGATGCAGGAGGAGGAAGAGATGGAGGGGGAGGAGATGGAGGACGAATAAGGGGTGGGAGCAAGGCCCGGACCCTCATGGGGCCCCCTGGCAGTCTTCAGGAAGATGGTGCAATCGCGAGTGGGCGACTCCTTCTACATCCGCACGCACTTCGAGCTGGAGCCGAGCCCACCCTCGGGCCTGGGCTTCACGCGCGGCGATGTCTTCCACGTGGTGGACACGCTGTACCCGGGCCCTGCGCACGGCCTCGCCCGGGGCAGCCTCTGGCTGGCAGCTCGCGTAGGCCGCGACTTCCGGGAGCAGGAGCGGGGCGTCATCCCGAACCAGACCAGGTGAGCCCGGGGGCCCCAGTCTCCCTGGTGGGATCCGCCATCCTATCTGTACCTAGTGATGACAGTGATCCGTCAGTCGGTCCCTAAATTTAGCAGCTTTAAATGACAGGTTGTTTTGTTTTGTTTGTTGGCACTGGAGATGGAACACAGTGGCTACATCCCCATCTGTTGTTGTTGTTTTTTTTGTTTTTTTGGTTTTTTTTTTGTATTTTAGGGAAGGGTCTACAGGGTGTTCAGGGTCTCACCACTAGATCAGACTCATAATAATCCACCTGTTTACAGCCTCCCAAGTGCTGGGATTACAAGTGTGCACCACCACGCCCAGTCTCAATTGCCATCTCACGCTGCCATGGGAACAGGCCAGCAGGGCAGGCCCAGGAATTGAATCCCCAGCCCCTGTGCCTGCTTGCAGGCACTTTAATCCGCTGAGCTATTTGGCACCCCCCCATCTGTTTTTATTTTTATTTTTAATTTTGAGACAGGTCTAAGTCCCTAAATTGCCCAGGCTGGGATCCAACTTGCAATCTTCCTGCCTCAGCTTCCCAGAGTGCTGGGTTGACAGGTGGATGCCACCAAGCCTGGCTTTATCTCTGGTCTGTAGCTCAGAAGTCCTGAAGTCCAGGCTTGAGCAGCCAGGCTGCCCCTCTGGAGGCTCTGGGGAGAACCAGGGTCCCTGTCCCAGTGCTGCATTTTCGGCCTCTGCTGAACTCCCCTCTTTCCTTGTGCCCTCCCGGGGGACCCTGGGAGACACTGGGCCCCAGGTGGTCCAGGATGGCCCGGTCAGGGTCCTCCCCATGATCCCATCCCAGAATCGCTTGTACCTTTAAGGTGACAGGGCCTAAGCATTGGGATGTGACTTTTTCTTTTCTTTAGGTACTGGGGATTGAACCCAGGGCCTTCACACCAAGCACCCCCCAGTCTCACTAAATTAAGTTGCCAAAGCTGGGCTTGAACTCATGATCCTCCTGCTTCAGACTCCTGCGTGCTGGGATTACAAACCTGCACTACCAGGCCTGGTTATTTTCGGTTTTGAGACAGGGTTTCACTATGTAGTTCAGGCAGGCCTTGAACTCACTATATAGCTTAGGCTGCCTTCAAACTCACAGTGATTCTCTTGCCTCAGCTTCCCAAGTGCTGGGATTGCAGGCGTGCGCCACTATGCCAGGCCATCTAGGGACCTTCATGGGGGTCTCATAACTCATGTCGCCCTCTTCCTGCTCCTGCCCAGGGCCGAGCAGCTGGCCAGTCTGGAGGCTGCACAGCGGGCCATGGGCCTCGGGCCTGGGTCATCCTCTGGCTCCAGTGCCCGTGCGGAGTTCTGGCGCCTGCGGGGCCTTCGTCGAGGAGCCAAGAAAACGAGCCAGCACAGCCGGGAGGACCTGTCAGTGCTGACCAGGCAGGGCCACTACCCGCCCTATGAGCGTGTGGTGCTGCGTGAAGGTGGGTAGGCACCTGCTGCCGGCCCCCCGGGCCTGGCCTGTTCCCTCTCCTGGCCGGAGACGCCTGCCTGGGTTTCCCTAGCAGCACTGGGAGACAGAAAGGGCTTGGTTTCTCAGTTGGGCATGTTGGTGCACACCTGCAATCCCAGCACTCCGGAGGCTGAGGCAGAAGGTCACCATGAGTTCGAGGCCTCCTTGGGCTACATAGTGACACCCTGTCTCACAAAGACCAAAACGAAACAAATGAAAACCCACTCTATTTCCAACAGGCGAGAGTGCAAGGCATATTATGAGGTGGCCCACAGTATCCACCCAGCCAGCCACCTACACCTCTGCTGATGACAAATATTAATGAAAGAAAGAAAGAAAGAGAGAGAAACTGTCTGAGCCATGCCTGTGCCACAGATCTGTCATCCCAGCTGCTCAGGAGGCCAGGCAAGAGGATTGCAAGTTCAAGGCCAGCCTGGGCAGTTTAGTGAGACCCTGTGTCAAAAACTAAACAACAAAAAAGGGAGGTCCTTGGTTCTAGCTCCACAAAAGAAAAGAGAGACTGGGCGTGGTGGCACATGCCTGTAATCCCAGCTCTTAGGAGGCTATAAACAGGCGGATCACTATGAGTCTGATCTAGTAGTGAGACCCTGAACACCCTGTAGACCCTTCTCTCAAAAATACAAAAAAAAAAAAAAAAAAAAAGAAAAACGTTTCATTAATAATTCATACATATATATAATATATATATATATATATATATATATAATATAGGATGCTACTATATATTTTGAATATAGGATGCTATATTTTTTTTTGGTCAGTTTGAGACAGGACCTTGCTATGCAGCTCAGGCTGGCCTTGAGCTCAGGTTAGTCTAGAACTTGAAATGATCCTCCTGCCTCAGACTCCTGAGTGCTGGGATTACAGGCGTGTGCCACCATGCCTGTCTTTACCACAATTTAAAATACAAAAACACAAAACTCACACAATGCTCATTTCTCCTGCCGAGGCCAGGGCAGGAGGAAGATCTCATCTGCAGTTGGAAGGGCAGGAGATTACGCTCTGGGGCTGCAAGGATTAAGGGCCAGGTATGCAGATCTTAGCCCTGAACTGAAGACCTGGGGGTGGCAGGTGGCCAGTGGCTTGGACTGACCACCAGGAAGCCCTCCAATAGCCTCTGTGGCTGCTACCCCAACATCCAGCAGGTGCAAGGTGTGCATCATTGTATCCGGCTAGTTTCTCTTTTATTTATTTTGTTTTGAAAGAGACAAAAAAAAAAAAAAATTCAAAACAAGACAATAGGAGGGTAACAATGGCTAACACATTTTTTATCTTTGTGTATTGTTATCTTTAAGCTAGTTACAGTTGCTCCTTCAGGCTCATATACTAAAAAAAATTGGAACAATATAGAAAAGATTAGCATGGCTCCTGTGCTCAGGGATGACACGCAAATTCGCGAAGTGTGTCGTATTTAAAAATGAGATGGCTCAGTGGAATAAGCGCTTCCTTGGCAAACACAAAGGCCTGAGTTCAATCCCCGGTTCCACCAAAAAAAAAAAAACAAACTGTAAAGCACGAGGGTAAGATTTACCACCTCAAGCATTTTGGGGCTGGGGAGGTAGCTCAGTAGAATAAGCGCTTGCCTGGCAAGCACAAGGGCCTGAGTTCAATCCCTGGTTCCACCAAAAAAAATGAGGGCCAGCCAGATAGCTCAGCAGATTGAAGCACCTGCTTAGACAGACATAGGAGCTGGGGTTCAATCCCGGCCTGCTGTGCCAGCCCCACCCCGGGGAACACTGAGACATCAAGTGAGACTGGGCGTGGTGGCACATGCCTGTAATTCCAGTGCTTGGGAGGCTGAGAACAGGAGGATCACTACGAGTCCTAGCTGTGTAGTGAGACCCTGTACTAAATACATAAAAATTAAAAATAAAATTAATAAAACTCTACTCAACCTTACTG